TCACCCTCAGGGACTAGCAGCATGGAACAGAGATGGGGAGCAGCCTCTGACAGGAAAGCAAGCTCATACTGTCAGTCCTCTAGGACGTCACTGCCAAGGGCAGCTACACCCCCGACGGATGGAGAGCAGGCAGGGTCAGAGACCAGAGCACTGGTGTAGTCAAGGCGGCGAGTAGCGGCGAAGTCAATGACAGCAGCAATAAGAGCCGACAGACTCGAGACAGGAACGGACGAGTTGGTAACAAGAGAGGCAAGGACATGAGGAACAAGGGGACGCGCAGCACAAAGGAAGTCAGAGAACGGAGGCAGGTCCACAGCGAGCGACGACGGAGGGGGAGACGGGAGGAGTGGAGGAGCACGAGACGCATGGGAGCGAAGCAACATAGGGTGAGAACGCAGAACAGGGGAGGTAGGACGAGCACGAGACAGACAACGAGCCCAGGCATGAGACTGAGGAGTCGGGCCAGGAGAGAGGGAAGGAGACACAAGAGGAGAACGAGGAGGGAAAGGAGCCAGAGAAGAGTCCGCTGGAGGAAACACAGGGCCGTAGACTGGCAGAGGAGGAGGCGGTGGTGACGGAGGAGGCACTAGCAGGCGGTGAGGGGAAGGAAGGCTGAGTAGGCGAAGAGCGGGCACCAGCGGCAACTGCGGCGGCTGCTGCCCGACGCCAACACCAGAACCTCCAGCGGCACCACGACTCCCTCCGAGAAGCTCCACGCCAGCACCCCCAGAACGGGAACCCGCTCCAGTACCCTCTCCACCACGCTCTCCAGCACCCCATAACGCACAAACCCTAGCGGCGGTGACGACGGCAGCGACGGCAGCTGCGGAGGAAGTTCGGCTGCGATAGCAACGTCGGCGACAGGGGAGGAGAGACCGGGGCAGGGACAGGCGGGGGAAGGGACTCCGCCGAGCCGCGAGAGTCAGCAGACTCCTTGGCAGGGACAATCGACTGAAGGGGGGTGACGTAAGACACACCAGACGGGGCAGGGCGGGGAGGGAGGGGAGCAGGAGCGACCAATGGAGGGGGAACCAGGAACAGGGGGGGAGTAACCGAGGGACCACAGTGGGGAAAGCGGTGGTAGAAGGAGACGGACTCGTCAAAGGTGACGTCGCGGGAGTGAAAGAAACGGTGAGACGGCGGGTGGTAGAAGTGCCAGTCAGACGAGTCGAGGGGGAAACCTAGAAATACACAGGGGACAGTGCGGGCAGTGAGCTTGTCCGTGCCAGAGGCACGAACGTGAGCAAGGCAGCCCCTGACGTGGAACGCAGACGCGTCACCAGGAGACCCGGTCCAGAGTAGGGTCGGCGAAACCTGCGGCCGCTGAGGGTGCGGCCACAGGTTAAGCTGGTGAGTGGCGTAGCGAACGGAGAACGGCCACAGAAAATGAGGTGCACCGGCATGGATCATGGAGGCACGAGCCACCTCCATTATGTTGCGTCGCTCAGCGACCCCATTATGCTGTGGGGATTCCGGCAGGGTGTACCACTGGGTGATGCCCTCCGCACGATAGAAGCGACCAAGGCAGCCAGATGCGAACTCGCCACCACGGTCGGAGTGACGACGCAACACAGGGAGACCTCGGTGAACACGCGCAGAGACAAGCCACGTGAGAAGAACGTCAGGCACGTCGGCCTTCCGCTCCAGGGGAAACACCGTGGTGTAGAGCGTGTAGTCGTCGAAAAGCATTAGGAAGTAGCCCTCACGACGCGGCCCATGGACGGGGGCGGGGCCCCAGACGTCCATGTGCAAGGTCTGCAGCGGTGCGGGGGTACGAGGAGGAGTGAGGGGCACACCGGAGCCGGCCCTCAACGCAGGGTGTGCACGGCGGCGCTGCCGAGGAGGGGAGCGAAGGGAACGACGTAGGAAGACCTAAGACAAGACCGTGCTGAGACATGTGACTGAGGGCAGGGTGACCTAGGCGGTGGTGCCACATAAGCGACGGGTGAGTAAGCGACCGACACGAGCAAGCCGCAGCAACCTAGGGGGGCATCCCAACCGGGGGGGACGCGGTGTCCAGCTTGAACAGGCCAGACACCGGGTCCCGGGGGAACGTGGTGAGGGGGGCACCGGTGGCGGCCTCGGTACAAACAGCGTACCTCTCGTGACAACGGAACGTAGTGGTGACGCCGAGGTGCTTAAGGCAGCCAACACCAACTAGGTTCCGTGAGAACGAGGGGATGTGCAGGCCTGTAAGAGAGCCCGAAGGAACCGCCGGACAGAGGAGGGTAGTGGAACTACGGGCGACTACCGGACCTGAGGAAGGGCAGACAAGGGCAACTGAGGCAGGGACGGCAAGCGGCGTCAGCGTAGTGTGGTCGCGAAAGAAACATGGAGACGCGCCAGAGTCGAGAGTGAAGGAGAGCGCGGCAGTGGTGGCTGGGGGCGGAGGAACTAGAGTGGAGCCAAGGCTAAACAAAGCAAGTGGTCCTATGCCTGACGCAGCAGGGGAGCCTAAACTAGGCACACTGGGCACACCTACACTAGGCAACACAGGGTTATAGGAACCAGTCACACTAGAGTCATCGACATACAGCGCATACAATGCAGAGCTAATCTCATCCATGTCCATATCAAAGATCCTAACACCACGACGGAGCACACTGTTCCAGTCGGGGAGGTCCAGCGCGGGGCCGAAGCGGAGACGAAACAGGTAGTCCCGACGACTGAAACAACGAGTGGGGGTATGACCGATCTTACCACACACGAGGCTGCGGCGAGGACTGGTCTGGAACTGGTACTGGCAGCGCCCGTCACTCGCACCACCACCCGACGACGAGCTACGCGCACGACCACCGCGACCACCACTACCACTGGCGCCAGGCCACCCAGGCGGGAGGTGGCCGACCCTCTGCTGCGACTGCTGTTGCTGCTGCTGCTACTGCTGGTCAAGCTGTGGCGCCTGCTGTTGCTCCTGCTGGGGCTGCTGCTCCGAGGCACCAGCCCCAGCCCCCTCGTCGGTACTACCACCAGCGGAAGAACCACCTCCACCACCACCTCCACGCCCTCCTCCACTACCACCGCCACGCCCAGCCTTGGGGCGGCGAGCCTTACCATAACAGGACTGCGCTGTGGCCACCGCGGCAGCAGTCTCATCAGCAGGGGCTGTCTCAGCGACAGCCGTAGAACCATCAGAGTAAGTGCACTGAGCGAGAGCACAACCCTGAAAGATAGGGACCGGCGCAGTATCGCTAGACTGGGCGATAGAGCGCTGACGGGTCTCTATGGCAGACAGGGTGTCGACAAAGTCTGGGAGGGTGAGGTCAGCGGGGTGCAAACTCAGAAAGTGGTCGCGGGCAGTAGCCAGGCGGTCAAGGAGGAGGGTGGCAAGCAGGTAAAGGGTAGAGCAGATATGGGCTGAAACACACTAAGCTGGGCCTCAATGCAGGCAGCGCGCCAGCTCGCGTCGAGCGCGCGCAGGTGCGTGGCCAGGTTAGCGACGGTGGAGAAAGACGCGAGATCCGGGAAGAGCATGGGAAGGATCAGGCGGCCGGCAGAGGCAGAGGACGGGGTGGAATAACGCTCGACAACAGCCTCTAGGAACTCCTGCGCAGTCCTGATCGACTTAAAGCGGGGGCGCTCAGACAGGGGGAGGGCATAGCTAATCACGAGCTGAGCGACAGCGTCACGCGACAGCCAGACAGCACGGGCAAGGGCAGCAGCGGCGGCGGACTTACGGTCAGCAGACGTGGGGTCAGCAGGGAGAGCAGCAGGGGGGTCAGGGCAAGGGAGCATAACGTCAATGTGGACGGCCAGGGAGTGGCCATCCTGCCGCTGACCAGTGAGGTGACGGCGGAGGTCGACGAGCCACGCGTCGAACTCAACGAGCTGACCCTCCATGTCAAAGCGCAGCACCGAGTCCGTCATTATGGCCGCTGCAGCCGGGATCAGGCGGTGAAGGGCGGGACGGAGCGACGAGGAGCAGTGAAGAGCAGTGCTGTACGGTGCAGTGCGGTGGAATGCGGTGCAGTGCAGCGCCGCGCGGTGCAGAGCGGTGCAGTGCGGTGGGTCGCGGTGCAATGCGGTGCCGCGCAGTGCGGAGTGGTGCAGTGCAGTGGGGCGCGATGCAGTGTGGTGCAGTGCGGTGGGGCGCGGTGCAGTGCGGTGCCGCGCGATGCTGAGCGGTGCAGCACGGTGGGGCGTAGTGCAGGACGGTGGAGAGGGCCGGTTTAGCGAGCGGGGACCGGGAAACACGGCCAAGGGTGGGGGAGGGGACGGCTGAGCAGCTGGACGACGGGGCCGCGGGGAGGCTAGGCGACGGGGCCACGGGGCGGCTGGGCGACTAGGCGGCGGAGCAGCGGGGCGACGAGGCCGCGGGGCGGCTAGGCGACTGGCCGACGGGGCGGCTAGGCGACGGGGCCGCGAAGTAGCGGGGTGACGAGGCCGCGTGGCGGCTAGGCGACGGGGCCGCGGGGCGGCTGGGCGACGAGGGGACGGGGCGGCTATGCGACGGGGCCGCGGGGCAGCTGGGCGACGGGGCCGCGAGGCGGCTAGGCGACGGGGCGGCTAGGCGACTGGCCGACGGGGCGGCTACGCTAGGGGCGACTAGGCCGCGGGGCCAGCAGGACGGCTAGGCGCAAGGCGACAAGGCGACAGGGCCACAGAGCCGTTAGGCGCCAGGTGACGAGACGACGGGGCCACGGGCGGGGAGGCGCTAGGTGACGGGGCCGTGGGGCCACGGGAGGCTAGGCGCTAGGTGACGGGGCCGCAGGGCCAGCGGGGCGGCTAGGCGCTAGGTGACGGGGCCGCGGGGCCAGCGGGGCGGCTAGGCGCTAGGTGACGGGGCCGCGGGGCCAGCGGGGCGGCTAGGCGCTAGGGAACGGGGCCGCGGGGCCAGTAGGCGCTAGGAGACGGGGCCAACGGGCCAGCTAGGCGATGGGGCAGATGGGCCAGCGGGGCGGCTAGGACCTAAGGCCAGGGGGGGGGGGGATCTAACTTACTCATGATACCATATCAAAGTTAGAATGGTTGACTAGAATGGAAGCATACAGAGGTATATAGCTAATGGGTTGTACTCTCTATGGCATGACCCTACATAGTCTACTAAACATACACACATATGTTTGACAGTTTCGTCACTCCCCGTCTAGGGTAAAAAAAACATTTTCATACCAAGGCATCGTCGTCAGTACCCTCAAATGATCCGCAAATTTCCGCCTCTATTTTTTTAACTCTGGTTGTACTCGCTGGACCCTGAGAAAATCAGACAAGCTCAGTTCTGGACTCAGACGTTTCAGAGTACCGATATTTTGGCTGAAGGCCCTTCATACTATTTTTCCTTTCGGGGGGGTTGGCTCAGAGTGCCTTTTTTTGAAACGTCGGCCCTGCTTGCCACCCTAACCACACCCGTCCCTTTTCCATTCCCCTCCCATCCACCCTCCCATTTCCCTCTCTAACTCATCCTCCTCCCTTCCACATTGAGTGTAAACTCGTACTGGTCGCACCCCAGGTACGAGCCACATGAAATACAGCATCAGATCCTTCTTCCCCACCTCCCAACCGCCCTCCCAGATCCCCCTCCCCTCTACTCATCCTCCTCCATTGCCCTCCCCTCCACATTGAGAGTAAACTCGTACTCCTGATCGCACCCCAGGTACGAGTCACACATGAAATACAGCATCAGATCCTTCTTCCCCTCGCCCCCACCCTTCTCCCCCTCCCCTCCCGGCGCTGCAAACTCCAGCTTGACCTTGGACTTCCGCTGCAGCGCTGTGCGCTTGATTGCCAGCAGCTGATTGGTCTTGGAGTCCCCAACCACCAGCCACCAACCCTCATCCTTAGGCTTGGGGAAGCGCGGCGCATCCACCGGACCTAGCTCTTGGCCCGGCTCGATGTCTCTCTCAAGAGTTACCTGTAACGAGGGAGAGGGGAGGGGGGGAAGGGGGGGGGAAGAGAAACAGGAGGGGTGGTGAAGCCTGGGCCTGGTTCGATGCCCCTCTGGAAGGTCACCTGAGAGGAAGGAGGGCCAAGAGTGTGTTTGTGAGATACAGGGGGAGGCGGGGGAGAGGGGGGGGGGGGGGGGAACACAAGACATGGAAAAGCAAGAACACAAGACCTTGAGAGCTCAGTTCCCATCCAAAAAACATGCCAAGTTGACACCCCTCCAAGTTACACTTACATCCACCCCCCCCCCTCACATCCACCCACCCTCCCCATGTCTACCCCCCTTATCTCCCCATGTTCCCCCCCCCCCCCCTGCCCCCTTCCCCCAGCCCTGATGACGCCTACCTGCATCATCGCATTCTCTCCAGTCGCCACATCCTGGGCGTTGATCAGATCGTAGCACAGATCAACAGACGGGAATCAGTTGCACAAGAGCGCCACGTCAGACTGCTGCGTCTCAAGATAGGCCCCCCAACCCCCTCCCCCTCTTTCCCCCAGCCCTCCCCCCCCTCCTCCCCCCTTTCCCCATAACATCCCATGCTTGCCTTCCTACCTGCATGACCACATTCTCTCCAGCGGCCACATCCTGGCCGTTGATCAGCTCGTAGTTGAGATCAATGGACGGGAAGCGGTTGCACACGCGCGCCACATCAGACAGCTGCTCCTCAGACATGCCGAGCGCCGCCGCCCGCTCGTCGTCGTCCATATCCACGAGATCTGATACGGATTCGATCCCCTTGCTGGTGAACTTGGCTGCTAGATCCTTGGTGAAGTGGGGGAGTTGCAGGAGGGGGGAGTCCTTCTCCCACAAACCCTGGGAAACGGGAGAGGAACAGAAAGCAGAGGGAGGGAGACAGAAAGAGGAGCTAGCAAAGAAGCTCAGGCAGCTATCACCCTTGCCCGTGAACCTGGCTGCTAGGCCCTTGGTGAAATGGGGCAGCTGCAGGAGGGGGGAATCCTTCTCCCACAAGGCCTAAAAGGAAGACAAGCAGCGGGAGAGACACAAAGTTGAGGCAACAAGGCAGATAGACTTGTGAACCTGGCTGCTGGGCCCTTGATGAAGTGGGGGACCTGCAGGAGAGGGGAATCCTTCTCCCATAAACCCTGGGGAAGGAAGAAGTTCATGGGGGAAAAGTGGGGGAAGAGTGGGGAAAGAGTGGGGGAAGAGTGGGGGAAGAGTGGGGGAAGAGTGGGGGAAGAGTGGGGGAAGAGTGGGGGAAAGAGAGGAGAGAATGAGGCAGAGGAGGAAGCATCAGGCGACTATAAGCCTTGCCCGTGAACTTGGCTGCTAGGCCCTTGGCGGGAAATTCCGAGGAAGAGGGGGAAAATTCCGAGGCGGAAGATTCCGAGGAAGAGGGTGAAGTTTCTGAGGAGCTTGGCTGGTGAACTTGACAGCTAGGTCCTTAGTGAAAGGGGGCAGCTCGAGGGGGGAGGACCTCGTGGAGGGGATGCGGGGAAAGAAGCGGGACGGACCAAATGGCAAAATGCATTAATTCAAGTTACACAAGGACACCTTGTGTAGTCACACTCACCTGCGTGACCATCTGGCTCAGCCCCATGGCAGCCAGGGAGGGCGACAACCAGGAAGAGGTGGGGAGCACGTCCACCATTGCCTGCAGCAGCCATAGGGGTTGCCCTAGAATTCCCTACTGCCCACAACCACAACCACTCACCACCAGTCGCACAACCCCACCGTGCCCCACTCACCTGCGTGACCATCTGGCTGAGCCCCATGGCCGCCAGGGCGGGGGAGAGCCACCCAGAGCTGAAGAGCACATCTTCCCACCATGGCCTGCAGCAGTCTGCCGGGCTGTACTTACAGTCACATAGCTCTCCACAAGCACACCCGCCACTATCACACATAAATTCTCACCTGCGAGACCATCTGGCTGAGCTCCATCGCCGCCAGCGCCGGAGAAAGCCACCCAGAGCTGGACAGCACGTCCACCATGGCCTGCAGCAGCCTGGAAGCTTCCATCAGCACGGCACGTTGGTCCTGCGCCAGTGGGCCAGTCACGACGTGGCGGGAGAAGTGCGCCTGGTGATGGGGAGGGGGAGGGGGGGGAAGAAGAGGAAGGGGGGGGGGAGTTGAGCCAGAGTGCTTCTGCTAAGAGTATGCCGACTGTGTGGCTTGCAGGCTGCAGCAGCTCCTTTTCCCCAAGACGCATGGGCATCTCCCCATACTCACTCGCCGATGGCACCACCTCAACCAACCCGTGTGTAATGAGTTTATTTTTGAGTCGACTAAAAAAATGCCGACTGCAACAGCTCCTCTTCCCCAAAGCGCATGGACAGCTCTCCACTCCACACTCACTCGCCAATGACACCACCTCAATTAACCCCTCCCTTTCTACTTCAAGTGTGGATCGGACAAAATTCGGCTTCTCCACTCCGAAGCACTGGTGGTGCAGCATCTTCCTCATCTGCTCCTGCTCCCCAGCACAGCCCACCGCATCCCCCATACCTGAAGCAAGACGGTGGCCTTCACACGTGGATCTGTGGTTTTGAGAATTCTCAAAAACACCCTGCAAAACCAAGACGTTGGCCTTCACACCTGGATCCGACAGGTTGGGCTTCTTGACTCCAAACCGCTGCAGGTGCAGCATCTTCCTCATCTGCTCCTCCTCCCCTGGCCGCATCGGCAGCTCGCCATACCCTCTCCCTCACACACACACAGACATACCTGCAGAAGGACATTCGCTTTCAAGTGGGGGTCTGACAAATTCGGCTTCTCCACGCCAAACCGCTGGTGATGCAGCATCTTCCTCATCTGCTCTTCCTCCCCCGGCCGCATGCGCAGCTCGCCGTACTCGCACGCCGACGCGACGCCACCACCTCAATCAGCCCCTTCAGGCGAGTCTTCGGCCCCGGCGACCCCCACCTATCCCTCACTCTCTAGACCTCACACACCCACACAGACACACCTGCAGGAGCACGTTGGCACACAAACACCCCCCTTACCTGTAGCAGAACGTTCGCCTTGAGATGCGGGTCCGAGAGGTTCGGCTTTTCGACTCCGAAACGCTGGTGGTGCAGCATCTTCCTCATCTGCTCCTCTTCTCCCGGCCGCATGGGCAGCTCGCCGTACTCGCTCGCCGACGCCACCACCTCAATCAGCCCCTTCAGGCGTGTCTTCGGCCCCAGAGACCCCGAAAACGCCTCAATGGTGGTGTAGGAGATGTAGTAGTAAGCCGCGATCATGCCCAGATTCAGCGGGGAAAGATCCATATCATCCTCTATAGCCACACACTTAGAAGCTTCGAGATCGGAGAGGGTTGTTTCAACGAGCTCGGACAAGTGGTCGCTTAAGTGCCGGTGGGAAACGCCGGTTAAGTTGTAGTAGTTGGGGTTCTGGGTGAGGCGGCGGTAGAGGAAAGACCAGGTGAGGTAGTCGACTGCATCCTGCTTGTTCTCCACGGTGCGAACCACCACCTCGGCGTTCAGCGGGTCGTGCAGGTGCTGGTCCAGATGGGACTCCACAGGCAGCGGTTCAAGAAGAAACTTCTTGTAATACTCCTTGCGAGCCGAGTGGCAGAAGATGACACAGCGACCCGCGTCGTCCAGACCTGCACGGGGGGGGGGGGGAGGTCGGGCATGGGAACGAGGGGGAGGGGGGAAGGGGAAGAGGGGGAAGAGGGGGAAAGGAGGAAACGGGAAGAGGGAAGAAGGAGGCGTTCAGCGGGTCGTGCAGATGCTGGTCCAGGTGCGACTCCACTGGGGGCGGTTCAAGAAGAAACTTCTTGTAATACTCCTTGCGAGCCGAGTGGCAGAAGATGACGCACTTGCCAGCATCATCATGACCTGGGAGAGTGCGGGGGTGGGTTTGTGGCGCATGGCAAAAAGGGGGAGGGGAAGGGGAAAAGGGGAAGGGGAAGGGGAAAAGGAGAAGGGGAAGGGGAAAAGGGGAAGGGGAAGAAAAATGGGGAAAGGGGAAGAGGGGGAGATGGAATTCGATTGGGAGCAGTTCAAGAAGAAACTTGTAATACTCCTTGTAAGAAAATGGGGGAAGGGGGGAAGGGGAAGAGGGGGGAGAGGGGGCGTTGAGGGGGTCATCCAGGTGCTGGTCCAGATGGATTTTGATTGGGAGCGGTTCAAGAAGAAACTTCTTGTAATACTCCTTGCGAGTTGAGTGGCAGACAATCACACAGCGACCCGCGCCGTCCAAACCTGCACAGCGGGGAGAGGTCAGTGGCAAGAGCGTATTTCTGAGGCGCCTTAAAACAGGAGGTCAGTGACAAGAGCCTACTTTAAAGGCGCCTCAAAACAGAAGGCCAGCGACATGGTGGTCCACCACCCTGCCGCCACGGCTTCCAGTGGTAGGACAGACGTGCTGGTGGGTGGGATATCAGCAGTCAGAGGGAGAGCTACACGGGTGCGAGAGAGATTTTTGAGGCGCCAAAAAAAAGCAGTCAGAGGGAGAGCTACACCTACACGGGTGCGAGAGAGTCACAGCCGCCTGAGAGTCACAATAACACTCACCAGGCCTGGACGCCCATCCCATCATCTGCAGGAGGTGAGTCACAGGGTAGTCCTCCCTGCTACCGCCACTGCCCCAAGGTTTCATGGTCATATCAAATCTGACCGCTGGGGCTAGAATGAACCCTGGCATTCACCCGGCCGGGACGCCCGTCCCATCATCTGCAGGAGATCCGTCACCGGATGGTCCACCCTGCCTTTTGCAGGGTGCTTTTGAGAACTCTAAAAAACACCCGACACAGGATGGTCCATCCTGCCGCCACCACCGCTGCCCAAGGCTGCACGAGTTGAGCTAGTGAATCATGCGTTAGCATTGAAACTACATCTCACCAGGCCTAGACACTCGTCCCATCATTTGCAGGAGGTCAGTCACGGGGTAATCCACCCTGCCACCACCGCTGCCGCAAGGCTCTAAAGAAAGTGGTTAACGTTTATATAGAGTCTCACCAGGCCGGGACGCCCGCCCCATCATCTGCAGGAGATCGGTCACTGGGTAGTCCACCCTGCCGCCACCGCTGCCGCCCGACACGGCAGAAGCGCCTCCCCCAGACCCGCCTCCCCCTCCCCTGGCGTCGTAGTACTGCGTGCCCATGATGACGACGAGGTTGGCGGGGAATATCGACCAGCACAGGGAGCTGACTGCCACGCAGACCTGGGAGAGGGAGGGCGAAAACAGGAGAGCCTGAAAATGGAGCCAGGCGCCATAGTAGTGCGCGCCGTGCCCATGATGGCCACTAGGTTGGCGGGAAATATGGACCAGCACCAGCAGAGGGAACTCACTGCCACGCAGACCTGTGAAGAGAGGGGGTGAGGGGCAGGACAGGTGACGGAGGGAAGGGTGCAGGGCAGTGGGCAGACAGCAGTACTGCATGCCGATGATGGCAGCGAGGTTGGCGGGGAACATGGACCAGCAGAGGGAACTTACTGCCACGCATACCTGCAAGGCGAGGGTGTTAAGAGGGGGGGGGTGGGAGAACCAAGAGTCTATACTGGGACCAGGCGTCCTGGTACAGTGTGCCCTTGATGACGACGAGGTTGGCTTGGCGGGGAATATGGACCAGCAGTGAACACCCACCTGGATAGCGCCAGTGGTGAACAGCTGCTTCACCACCTCCTGCTCGACAGCGCTCAGCCCCTCGCGCAAATACTCTTGGGCCCCCACTCAAGAAACACATGTCACATAGGATTGATGCAGCAGTGGACCCACCCACCTGGATAGCGCCAGCGGCGAACAGCTGCTTCACCACCTCCTGCTCGACAGCATTCAGCCCCTCGTGCAAATACTCTTGGGCCCCCACTCAAGAAACACATGTCACATAGGATTGATGCAGCAGTGGACCCACCCACCTGGATGGCGCCTGCAGTGAACAGCTGCTTCACCACCTCCTGCTCGACAGCGCTCAGCCCCTCGTGCAAATACGCCACACCAAACGACAGCCCGTGCCTGAGCCCCTCGTCCTTCACCCTTGCCAGGAACGGCGCCAAGTCCCCCTCCCCGCAGTGCAGAAACGGCGACGCAGCAGCCAGCGCTGCCGCGGAATCGCCGCCAGCGGTGTTACCAGCGGCCGCCAGAGTGGCCCCGGCTTCCCCGGCTGCGAAGGCGCAGAGGTCCAGAGCGGTGAGGCGCGCGTGCTTGCGGGTGGGCACGAAGACCAGAGCTGGCTTGCTGGTGCGAGAGGTGTGGCTCATTATGGCCGTGTAGGCGGGCTTGGTCATGGCCTGGGGATGGGGGAGGGAGGGAGGGGAGGGAGGGGGGGGGGGGGATATCTGCGGGTTATAGATAAAAGAAGGAGAAGAGGGCATAATCCAAGCTTGTTGGATCGAGAGGTGTGGCTCTTGATGGCCTTGTAGGCGGGCTAGGTCATGGCCTGGGGGGGAAAACAAGGGAACAAGGAAGAAGGGGGTATACGGAGGTCCAGAGCGGTGAGGCGCGCGTGCTTGCGGGTGGGCACGAAGACCAGAGCGGGCTTGTTGGAGCGAGAGGTGTGGCTCATTATGGCCGTGTAGGCGGGCTTGGTCATGGCCTGGGGATGGGGGAGGGAGGGAGGGGAGGGAGGGGGGGGGGGGGATTATCTGCGGGTTATAGATAAAAGAAGGAGAAGAGGGCATAATCCAAGCTTGTTGGATCGAGAGGTGTGGCTCTTGATGGCCTTGTAGGCGGGCTAGGTCATGGCCTGGGGGGGAAAACAAGGGAACAAGGAAGAAGGGGGTATACGGAGGTCCAGAGCGGTGAGGCGCGCGTGCTTGCGGGTGGGCACGAAGACCAGAGCGGGCTTGTTGGAGCGAGAGGTGTGGCTCATTATGGCCGTGTAGGCGGGCCTGGTCACTCTCGCTCCCACTCTCTCACCTGCATGCACGCGTCAAAGTTGGAGATGTCAAACCTCTGGATGTGGAAGTCAGCGGGTACAGACACACACGCCCGCCCTCACACAAAATCTAGCACCCCCACACCTTTCCGCACACCGCCACACGCACGCCTCGAAGTTGGAGACGTCGAACCCTCGGATGTGAATCTCCAGAGGCACCACCAGGCGCCCACCCACCACGACCTCACTGTTTGCGTCCACCCTCATATGAACACACGCACGCTCACCTGCATCCGTGCCTCCAAGTTGGAGACGTCGAACTCCTGGATGTGAATCTCCAGAGGCACCGGGCGCACAGCAGGGGAGAAGTAGAACAGCCCATGTGAGCTGGCCCCCAGCCACTCGCCCAGGTCCCTCGCATTCGCCAGCGACGCTGCCAGGGCGACGATCCTGATCTTGTGCCCCCCTGACGCCTGCTGGCTGTTGGCGACCTCACTGTTTGTTTACACCCTCACTCACATGAGCACATGCTTACCTGCATCCGGGCTTCGAAGTTGGAGACATCAAACCCCTGAATGTGAATTTCCAGAGGGACAGGCCGAACAGCCGGGGAGAAGTTGAAGAGCCCGTGGGAGCTGGCCCCCAGCCACTCGCCCAGGTCGCGAGCATTCGCCAGCGATGCCGCCAGAGCAACGATCCTGATCTTGTGCCCCCCTGACGCCTGCTGGCTGTTAGCCCCTCCGGACGCCCCCAGCCCGCCGCCTGCCGCTGCTGCAGCAGCGGACTGCGAGCTGATGTAGCGCATGCGCGAGGTGATGACCTCGAGGACCGATCCGTTGTGGCCGCCGATGAGATGCAGCTCGTCCACGATAAAGAGGTCCACCTGCGGAAGTATAAGATGGGATGAAGGGACCAGATGGGATGAAGGGGAAGAGATGGGATGAAGGGGAACAGATGGGATCAAGGGGAAGAAGGGAGAGGGAGAGGTGAGGGTGCTGCAGCAGCGGACTGCGAGCTGAGCTGATGTAGCGCATGCGCGAGGTGATGACCTCGAGCACTGGGCCCTTGTGGTCGCCGATCAGGTGAAGCTCGTCCACCATGAAGAGAAGAACCACCTGTAAGCGGGGTAAGGAGGGGGGAGCAGGGGAATGAGTAACAGGGGAACAGCAGACCATCATCGATTGAAATGACCCTTACCAGTTCAGATGAGGGCTGCCGTTGCCTCACCTCTTGAGTCGACTCAAAAGTCACCCCCTAAACCCTAAGCCCCAAACCCTGAACAGCAGGCCATCATACATTGAAATGATTCCTTACCAGTTCAAATGCATGCTGCAGTTGCCTCACCCCTTGCACGCATACTCCCTGCCTGCCAGCCACCTGCCAGCCCAGCCCCTCACCTGTTGCACGGCGCGCCGCTGCTTCCACCTCCTGCTCAGCTGGTCCCACCGCTCCGGCGTGCTGACAATGATGTTGCTCCTCTCCAGCAGCTTCAGTTCTCGACATGCCACTTGCCACAACTGAACCACACGCAACGCCCTAGTGTGTGGAAACCCCTCACCTGCTGCACGGCGCGCCTTGTTGCTTCCACCTCCTGCTCAGCTGGTCCCACCGCTCCGGCGTGCTGACGATGATGTTGCTTCTCTCCAGCAGCTTCAGTTCTCGACATGCCACTTGCCACAACTGAACCACACGCAACGCCCTAGTGTGTGGAAACCCCTCACCTGCTGCACGGCGCGCCTTGTTGCTTCCACCTCCTGCTCAGCTGGTCCCACCGCTCCGGCGTGCTGACGATGATGTTGCTTCTCTCCAGCAGCTTCAGTTCTCGACATGCCACTTGCCACAACTGAACCACACGCAACGCCCTAGTGTGTGGAAACCCCTCACCTGCTGCACGGCGCGCCTTGTTGCTTCCACCTCCTGCTCAGCTGGTCCCACCGCTCCGGCGTGCTGACGATGATGTTGCTTCTCTCCAGCAGCTTCAGTTCTCGACATGCCACTTGCCACAACTGAACCACACGCAACGCCCTAGTGTGTGGAAACCCCTCACCTGCTGCACGGCGCGCCTTGTTGCTTCCACCTCCTGCTCAGCTGGTCCCACCGCTCCGGCGTGCTGACGATGATGTTGCTTCTCTCCAGCAGCTTCAGTTCTCGACATGCCACTTGCCACAACTGAACCACACGCAACGCCCTAGTGTGTGGAAACCCCTCACCTGCTGCACGGCGCGCCTTGTTGCTTCCACCTCCTGCTCAGCTGGTCCCACCGCTCCGGCGTGCTGACGATGATGTTGCTTCTCTCCAGCAGCTTCAGTTCTCGACATGCCACTTGCCACAACTGAACCACACGCAACGCCCTAGTGTGTGGAAACCCCTCACCTGCTGCACGGCGCGCCTTGTTGCTTCCACCTCCTGCTCAGCTGGTCCCACCGCTCCGGCGTGCTGACGATGATGTTGCTCCTCTCCAGCAGCTCAAATCCGTGCCACTCTCTCCCTAGTCAAGTCATACCTGTTGCACATGCCATGCCCCTCCCAACCCTCTGCCAATCACTGCTCACCTGCTGCACGGCGCGCCGCTGCTTCCACCGTCGACTCAGCTGGTCCCATCGCTCAGGCGTGCTCACCACGATGTTGCCCCTCTCCAACAGCTTCAGACCCATGCAGCAAAGCAAACATCATACCTGCTGCGCACAAGCCGCACACGGTGCACGTGTCGAACCACTCACCTGTTGAACAGCCCGCCTCTGCTTCCACCGTTGACTGAGCTGGTCCCATCGCTCCGGCGTGCTCACGATAATATTGCTCCTCTCCAGCAGCGTCAGATCTTTGCCACTCTCCCCTGTCAGCTCCTACCAGTTGCCGTGCCAGTACCCACTTTAACCCTCTGCCAATAACCTCTTACCTGCTGCACAGCGCGCCGCTGCTTCCACCGTCGGCTCAGCTGGTCCCACCGCTCCGGTGTGCTCACGACGATGTTGCTCCGCTCGAGAAGCTTCAGGTCCGTTCCACTCTCCCCAGTCAGCTCCCCCACCTTCACCTTCCCTCCTCCCCCCAGCACCTTCCCAAACCGCTCCCCCCACTCCTTCGCCCTCTCCTTGACAATTGCATCCACAGGCGCCACATACACACACCGCCCCCCGTAGGAGATTTCGTCCAGGCTGCCCGAGTTACCGCCGCCTGACGCTTTCGCCTGCAGCATGCGGAGGATCGCGAACTCCGCGCAGATTGTTTTCCCGCTGCCCGTGGGCGCGGCGAGAAGGACGTTGTCGTCAGTGTTGTACAGAACTGTAAACACCTGGGTCTGAATGGGGTTAAAGTGCGAAATGCCCCGCCGAACCGCCCCCGAGCCCGAACCGGAAGGGTCGGTGGAAACCAGCCCTGCCGCTGCTTCGCCTGCGTACAGCGCCTCGAACGCCGCGTTCCGTAACGCGGTAACCGGCAGCGGCTGCAGGTCCAGCAGCTCCGTCGGCGGCGGGAATTTCTCGGGAAGAATCAGGTGGCGGAACGACACGGGCAGAACCGTCTGCGCGCCGATCCAACGGTCGGAAACGACCTTCACGAAATACTGCGGCGGAAGCGGCTCGAAGATGGGAACCGTGAACGAGAGGTAGTGGTCCTCCTGGGCGTATTGCATCTTGAGGAGGAAGAGCTCGTGGTGAAGGATGGTGTCCCCATCGTGGTCCTCCACTATCACCCAGAAAGGCTCCACGAACCCGTGAAGTTTCTCCTCCCACTGGAAGTCAGGCGTTATGGTGAGGTCCACTCGGAGCACGGAGCGGGTGATCGGCAGGACCTGGGCAGAGAGCTCCAGGCGAGGGAACTGGGAGGGATTCGGGGAGGGTGGGAGTAGAGGGAGAGGAGAGGGTGGAAGTCAGGCGTTATGGTGAGGTCGACGCGGAGCACTGACCGGTAGGCATGAGCACGGGGCGAGGCGAGGATTCCTTGACCCGAGGATCTCATCCTCGCACCATAGCCGGGGCGGGTCGAGGAATCCTCGCCGAGGATTTTTCTTGCAAAACCCCCCTCGACCCCCGGGTTTTGGGGTCGAGGATTGAAATCCTCGCCTCGAGGATTAATTCCTTGACCCGGAGCGAGGATTCCTTGACCTGGGCGGCTGGGGGTTTAAGGGGGGGGGGGGGAAATGGGAACATGTGCGGGAAGAATGAGCCTTATCCAGGTTTTCCTCGCGAGGATACAAAATCCCATTGCCTCAGGCCCATTTGCCTCGAGGAAATGTCGAGGCCTCGAATCCTCGGCGGGGCGGGGCGAGGATTCCTCGCGAGGATTTTTCCCAGAAATCCCGCCTCGACCCCCGGAATTTCGAGGCGAGGATTTCCAAGGCGAGGAAATCCTCGCCTCGTTGCTCATGCCTACTGACCGGGTTATGGGGAGCACCTGGGCTGACAGCTCCAGGCAAGGGAACTGTGGGAATCAGGGGAGAACGGGGAGGAAAAGAGTTACTCCACCCAGAAGGGCTCCACGAATCCGTGCAGCTTTTCCTCCCACTGGAAGTCAGGCGTTATGGTGAGGTCGACACGGAGGACAGAGCGGGTGATAGGGAGCACCGGCTGACAGCTCCAAGCGAGGGAACGGCAGCCAGGGAGTGGGGGAATGGGGAAAGGGACCGTTCAGACGACAAGCAGTGTCACCCAGAAGGGCTCGACGAGTCCGTGCGGCTTCTCCTCCCACTGGAAGTCAGGCGTTATGGTGAGGTCTACTCGGAGGACAGAGCGGGTGATAGGGTGGACCTGGGCAGAGAGCTCCAGGCGAGGGAACTGGGGGGGGATCCGGGGAGAACGGGGAGGAGAAGAGGGATGACAAAGTGAGTTAAACCTGAAGGTACTGACATTCTCTTTATCCTACATAGTTTCTTATACTAGGGTATATGTAACCAAGTTGGGTTATCTAGGGGTGTAGATAACTGTTGGGGTTGGATATTCAACCAACCCTTGACCTCAACTATCGAGGTGTTCAAACTTGCTGGACTTTCACCAACATTATTGGCTCCTCAATTGTTGGTGGTGCAACCTTCCCAACCATCATTGGCCCAACCAATAATGGTTGACTTGGTCAAACCCCCCTTGACCTAGGATTGACTCCCTAGGTATGTAACCCTGTATCACCTCCCTCTATAGTCAATTCTTCTCTGTACACTTTCTAACATTGCATGCATGTTGAGGAAAAACATGCTCGTGGTGAAGGATGGTGTCCCCATCGTGGTCCTCCACTATCACCCAGAAAGGCTCCACGAACCCGTGAAGTTTCTCCTCCCACTGGAAGTCAGGCGTTATGGTGAGGTCCACTCGGAGCACGGAGCGGGTGATAGGGAGCAGTCTTCCCACTGCTTCATCCTCACTATAAACAGCTTGATTACTGGAGAATGTTACAGCCCGCTCACCCGATACACCAGCTCGTACAGATTCTTGCAAAGCTCGCTGTTTCATCCTCCATATAAAGAGCTTCACCACTGCAAACCTCACAACCTGCTCACCTGGTGAACCAGCTTGTGCAGAGTCTTGCCAAGCTTGGGCATGCGAACCAACTCGCCCAGCTCCTGCCATTGGGGGGGGTGGGGGGGGTGGGGGGGGGGGGGGGGAGGGGGGGAAGGTTCCGCGGGGGCGGGGGGAGGAGGTAAGGGGAGAGACAAGGGAGGGCAGGGAGAAAGAAGGGGAGAGGAATGAGTGAGTAGAGAGAGGAGCTGAGCACTGAGGTTGGGCATGCGAACCAACTCGCCCAGCTCCTGCCATTGGGGGGGGTGGGGGGGGGGGGGGGGGGGAGGGGGGAGGAGGTAAGGGGAGAGACAAGGGAGGGCAGGGAGAAAGAAGGGGAGAGGAATGAGTGAGTAGAGAGAGGAGCTGAGCACTGAGGTTGGGCATGCGAACCAACTCGCCCAGCTCCTGCCATTGGGGGGGGTGGGGGGGGGGAGGAGGTAAGGGGAGAGACAAGGGAGGGCAGGGAGAAAGAAGGGGAGAGGAATGAGTGAGTAGAGAGAGGAGCTGAGCACTGAGGTTGGGCATGCGAACCAACTCGCCCAGCTCCTGCCATTGGGGGGGGTGGGGGGGGGGAGGAGGTAAGGGGAGAGACAAGGGAGGGCAGGGAGAAAGAAGGGGAGAGGAGAGGAGGTACGTGGAGAGAGAAGTGAGAGCAGCAGGGGGGCAGAAGTGGAGAGGAACGAGAGAGTGGAGGGAGGACAGCAGCACATCTAGCTTGGGCATCCGAACCAGCTCACCCAACTTCTGGAATAGGAGGGGCGGAGAGAGAAGGAAGGGCAGGGGGGGAGACGTAGGCACAAAGGGAGAAAGGGAGAGGAATGAGTCATGGGGCAGGGGTGAGGAGAAGAAAGCTGGACACAGGGCTTTGGCATGCGAACCAGCTCGCCCAGCTCCTGAAATCAGAAGGGCGCCTAGCTCCAGTTCCCCTAGTCACAACACACCAACCCACCCCTTAGTGACAGAAAAAGACTCCTAGCATCAACCCCTCCGAAACCCACCTGGCAGGCGAGGTCGTAGTACTGCTCCCATCCCAGGGCAGGTCCTTCCTCCCCAGTGTGTCGATGATTCAAGAGGCACAAGGGGAGAACACAGGCCTGTTCCCCTAGCGACAACACACCAACCCACCCCTTATTGACAAAAAAAAACACACACACAGCATCAACCCCTCAGTAAACCCTATCACATTCCTAAACCCTTCGCAACCTTAAACCCCTGGAAACCCAACCCACCTGAGAGGAAAGGTCGTAGTATCGCTCCCACGGCAGGTCCTTTCTCTCCAGCTTGGCAATGATTTCAAGAGGAACACCCTTGAACTGCCGCAGGGGGGACTGCGCCGCCCACATGCGGCGGGACACCATCTTGCAGAGATTCAGTGCCCTCTCTGCCAGGCGCGCCCACCCTCGCCTCAAGACGATTTCGAACAGGGCGCGCATGAGACGACCAGCCGACTGCAGGGGTGACAGGGAGAGGGAGAAAGAGGGAGAGGATACATTAAGACTCTGCTAGCAACTGCGCCACCCAAATGCAGCGGGACAGATTCAGCACCCTCTCTGCCAGGCGCGCCCATCCTCGCCTCAAGATGATCTCAAAGAGCGAGCGCATGAGATGACCGGCGGACTGGAAGGGGCAATCAATGGGGAGGGGAGAAGGGGGGGGGGGGAGAAGGGTGGGGGGGGGGGAGAACGAGACACCATCTTGCACGGTTCAGCGCCCTCTCTGCCACGCGCGCCCACCATCGCCTTATAACGATCTCGAATAAAGCGCACATGAGACGACCAGCGGACTGGAAGGGAAGTGAGAGGAAAAGAGAGGACGGGAGGAACATGAGTTGTGAGGTGACTTGGTGACTTTTGAGTCGACTCAAAAGTCACCTCGTTACAATGTCACACACCACTTTCGCTTGAAGGGAAGTGAAAGAAAAAAGAGAGGAAGGGAGGAACATGGGTTGTGAGGTGAGGTGACTCGGCCGCCCACATGCGGCGCCGACACCATCTTGCAGAGATTCAGCGCCCTCTCTGCCAGGTGCGCCCACCCCCTCCTTAGAACGATCTTGAATAGAGCATGCATGAAGTGGCTAATTTCAGGCACCGGGGGACTGCAGGGGAGATAGGTGAGCCTGAAGCATCTTTGGTGCATGAAGTTCTTAAATACTTAGTGCTTAGCTGAGAGCATTGGGCATGGTAACTAAACAGCCTGAGTGAGAGCCACTACTTAGCTACTTGTTTCTATAAAGAGTGGTAAGTGTTCTTATACAGCACCTACTTTGCTGAGTGTTTCCTAAAAAGCGCCTGATTAGCTAATGTTTGAATAAAACACCTGCTTAACTAATGTTTGAATAAAGAACCTGCTTAGCGAAGTGTTTGAATAACGCACCTGAGTGACATAGACCATGTCAGAGACGAGCGAGAGCCCATCGAGCTGCAACTGGCTGATGTACGCCTGGAGGGGGGGGAAAAGGGGGGAGGAGGCCGGAAGGGAGGCGCAGACAGAGGGAGGGTAAGCGCCGAGAGAGAGGGGCTTTTGACGTAGACCATGTCAGAGACGAGAGAGAGTCCATCGAGCTGCAACTGGCTGATGTACGCCTGGGAGGAGGGGAGGCAGGGGAGGAGGGGAGGCAGGGGAGGAGGGGGCAGGGGAGAGGGCAGGGGAGAGGGCAGGGGAGAGGGCAGGGGAGAGGGCAGGGGAGAGGGCAGGGGAGAGGGCAGGGGAGAGGGCAGGGGAGAGGGCAGGGGAGAGGGCAGGGGAGAGGGCAGGGGAGAGGGCAGGGAGAGGGCAGGGGAGAGGGCAGGGGAGAGGGCAGGGGAGAGGGCAGGGGAGAGGGCAGGGGAGAGGGCAGGGGAGAGGCAGGGGAGAGGGCAGGGGAGAGGGCAGGGGAGAGGGCAGGGGAGAGGGCAGGGGAGAGGGCAGGGGAGAGGGCAGGGGAGAGGACAGGGGAGAGGGCAGGGGAGAGGGCAGGGGAGAGGGCAGGGGAGAGGACAGGGGAGAGGGCAGGGGAGAGGGCAGGGGAGAGGGCAGGGGAGAGGGCAGGGGAGAGGGCAGGGGAGAGGGCAGGGGAGAGGGCAGGGGAGAGGGCAGGGGAGAGGGCAGGGGAGAGGGCAGGGGAGAGGGCAGGGGAGAGGGCAGGGGAGAGGGCAGGGGAGAGGGCAGGGGAGAGGGCAGGGGAGAGGGCAGGGGAGAGGGCAGGGGAGAGGGCAGGGGAGAGGGCAGGGGAGAGGGCAGGGTAGGGAGAACGGGGGAAGCAGAGCGAGGGGGAGGAGAGGGAATTTGAGTGAGTCGACTGAAAGAGAGGGGAGGCAACGAAAGATACGGCTAGCTGCAACTGGCTGATGCAGGCCTGGCGGAGAGGGAGGGAGTGGAAGGCACAGGGAGTGGGGGGGGAGAGGGAGAGATTTCTTAGTGAGGAAATTGAGGGAGAGGGGGAGAGAGAGGGGAGGGGGAAGGGGGAGCTGAGGGCTGTTCTTTCTCCTCTTCACCGGGATCGGCACTCCAGAAGCTTCGCCAGTGCATCGCAGGTGCTTGGAGCTCATGAGAGCAGGGGGGGGGAGGGGGGGGGAGGTGAAGGGATAGTGGGAGGGCGGAGGGGAGGTGGGTGGGAGAGGGGAGAGGGGAGAGGGTGGAGGGACAATGGTGAAGGCTTTAGTTTGTGGTTATTGCTGCAACCAGTGCATCATTGCCACGCGAATGCCAGTTCATGCTGGAAGAGGTGAAGGACGGGGATTTTCAGGCGCTCGCAAAGCTGATACACTGGTGCCCAGGCGCACCAAAGGCGTGGCGAGTTCAAAATGCTAACATTACCCTGAATTGCACAAATGGGACAAAGACCACCCTCCGTGCAATTAAGAATAAGGTTACCATTCTGCAACTCGCCATCTCCTTGATGTGCCAGGGCACTAGTGGATCAGCTTTGCAAACGCTTGAGAATCCACATCCTTCATTTGCTCCAGAAGAGCTGAACTCACTTCTTGGCGAAAGGGAGAAAAGAGAGACGAGGAGAGAGAGAAAAGATACCCACGAGTCTCACCTACCTGCAGCAGCGCGTTGCTCTTGGCCGACCGCTCTTCAATCCCCTCCTTCCCCGGTTGGGCCCTCGCTCCAGCAGCTTGGCGAGCTCCAGCTTCTCCTCCTCCCTCACGCCCACGTACTTGAACTCCCTAGAGAGCGTGACGCGGAAGAGAGAGCATGAGAGAATGGGGGGCAAACACTACCCAAAAACACACCTGCAGCAGCACGTTGATCTTGGCTGAGGGCTCCTCAATCCCCTCCTTGACGGGAATGGGCACTCGCTCCAGCAGCTTGGCGAGCTCCAGCTTCTCCTCCTCCCTCACACCCACGTACTTGAACTCCTCCGAGAGAGAAAAGAGGCGGCAGAGGTCGATGTCGCCCATGGTGGGCTTTAAGTGCTCGTTGTAGGTGGCGATGGTGCCGTGCGAAATGTAGTAGAAGGAAGCTATGCGCCCCAGGTCGGTCACCTACGAAGGGGCGAGCGCGGGGTGGGGTGGGGTGGGGTGGGGTGGGGATGGAAGGTAGGGGGAGGAGAATTAGGGGAGGTCAATGTTGCGGATGGCGATGGTGCCGTGGGAGATGTAGTAGGAGGAGGCTATGCGCTCAGGTAGGTCACCTGGAGGGGAGCAGGGGGGGCGCGAGGGGGGGAAGGGGACAGAGGGGAATGGGAGAGGTGGCGATGGTGCCATCACTGCTGTGGGAGATGTGGTAGAAGGCAGCTATGCGCCCCAGGTCGGTCACCTGGAGGAAAGATGGCTGGGACAGCGGGAGGGGGTGCAAGAGGGGGGGGAGGGGGTGCAGGAGGGGGTGCAGGAGGGGCAGGAGCATCTGAGGTGTGAGTGGAGGGGAAGAGGAGCTGAGGCAGTGTCGAAAGGACGGATGGTTGTGCAGCACCCACGAAAAAACACCTGATGAAACATGCTGGCTCACCTGGGGGAACAGCTGAGCTCACCTGGAAGACCCCTGACTTGCGGTCGTATTTCATGAGGTTGTTGCGATCGAGCTGCACGGCTGCCGAGTGGATCTGCAGTGAGCAATGGGGGGAGGCGGAGAAGGGGAGGGGGGGAGGGGGAGAAGGGGAGGGGGGAGGGGGAGAAGGGGAGGGGGGGAGGGGGAGAAGGGGAGGGGGGAGGGGGGGGGAGGGGAGGGAGTGAGGTTGTTGCGATCGAGCTGCACTGCTGCTGAGTGCATCTGGTGTGCGTAATGGGGGGGAGGGGGGCGGTTGGGGGGGGGGGGGGAAGAGGGAGTGAGGTTGTGGCGATGGAGCTGCACTGCTGCTGAGTGGATCTGGTGTGCACAATGGGGGGGGAGGGGGGCGGGGGGGGGGGGGGAAGAGGGAGTGAGGTTGTTGCGATCGAGCCGTACAGCAGGGGGCTGAGCAGGAGCAGCACACCACGCGCCTTCTCTGTCCACGACTCACCAGATAACGACAAATACTCGCCAAATCATTACTTCCTCTACTCACCAGGTCACCACCCCTTCTCCCCCTGTCAAAACCCAGGTCACATTCTTCTGCTCACTCACCAGGTCCGCCCTTCTGTCCTCCAGCACGGGATCCCTCTCTGCCTCCTCTGCTGAAATGCCGCTCAGCTGAGGGTCACCCAACCCTCACCAGACACGCCTACCCCAGACCTGCCTTCCCACTCACCAGGTCCGCCCTCCTGTCTTCTAAGACAGGGTCACGCTCTGCCTCCTCTGCTGAAATGCCGTATAGGGGAGGATTGCGCAGCATGCGGATGTATAGGTACGTGTAGCCCAGCCACCTGGGGGGGGTTGCAGAGAGAGAGAAGAGAAGGAGGAGAGAGAGTAAGAAAACGAAGCGCACAGAGGGTGATGCCACATAATGGACGGGTGCGCAGCATGCGGATGTAAAGGTACGTGTAGCGCAGCCACCTGGGGGGGAGGGAACACAGGGAGCAGCAGTACAAGGGCGGATTGGGAGGTACGACAGGGCCATCAGCCCTACAGAGCAGGGTTGCGCAGCATGTGCAGGTGTAGCGCAGGCACCTGGGGAGGCAGCAGGGGGCGAGGGGGGAAAGGGGGGGAGGGGGGAGGAGAAGGGAGGGGAGGGGGGAGGGGAGGACAGGCGGAGATAGCAAGACGAGCAGGGCACACTGGGCGAGAGGTGCTGTGCATCAGAGCGTTGTTGTGAGATCAAAGGCGACCTTAAAAATGGGTTGCATGTGCGTGCTTGTATGCTCAAGCCTGAAACCCTTCAACCCTTATTCCATACCTCTAACACTCCTAAACCCGAAACCCAAAACCCAAAAACCTTAAACCTGCATTCCCTTCACCTGCACGCCTCCCTGGCGTTGTGCACTGTCCCCACCCCAGCACTGCTTCAGCGTTCAAGCTATCAGCCAGGCGAGACAGCAGTTGTGACTCTATGGGGAGCTGCTGGTTCAGCAGCGACAGGTAGAACTGCGTGAAGAGTCTATTTTTGAGGCGCCTCAAAGACAGCAGCTGTGACTCTATGGGAAGCTGCTGGTTCAGCAGGGACAGGTAGAACTGCAGCTCGCCCCTAACTCCAGTAAACACGAAGAAAAAAAAACTCAATAACCCCAAATCCCTAAACCGCATACCTGCGTTCCCCTCACCTGCACGCCTCCCTGGCGTTGTGCACTGTCCCCAGCACGGCTTCAGCATTCAGGCTGTCAGCCAAACGGGAAAGGAGCTGTGACTCTATGGGGAGCTGCTGGTTCAGCAGCGACAGGTAGAACTGCAGCTCGCCGTGACCCGTTATAATCACGCCCTCGCCGTACGTGTCGTACTGCGGCCGCCCCGCACGCCCAAGCATCTGCATCACGTCCAGGGGAGAGAGCTCCGTCCATGCGCCCTTCTCTGGGTTGTACACCTGGATTCGGTGAGAGAAAGAGGAGAGGGTTTTGAAAAAGGCGAGGGGATTGCCGTACGTGTCGTACTGTGACCGCCCCGCACGTCCAAGCATCTGCATCACGTCCAGAGGGGATAATTACGTCCACGCGCCCTTCTCTGGGTTGTACACCTGGATACTGGCAGGGGAGAGGAGGAGGGGGGGGAGAGGAGGAGGGGGGGGAGAGGAGCAAGGTTGGAGAACAGTTGTGTGAGGGGCTCGCCCTAAGTGTCGTACTGCGGACGCCCGGCACGCCCCAGCATCTACATCACGTCCAGGGGGGAGAGCTCCGTCCACCCGGCCTTCTCTGGGTTGTACACCTGGATTCGGTGGTTGTATATACACCTGGTTGTATATACACCTGGTTGTATATACACCTGGTTGTATATACACCTGGTTGTATATACACCCGGTTGTATATACACCTGGTTGTATATACACCTGGTTGTATATACACCTGGTTGTATATACACCTGGTTGTATATACACCTGGTTGTATATACACCTGGTTGTATATACACCCGGTTGTATATACACCTGGTTGTATATACACCTGGTTGTATATACACCTGGTTGTATATACACCTGGTTGTATATACACCCGGTTGTATATACACCTGGTTGTATATACACCTGGTTGTATATACACCTGGTTGTATATACACCTGGTTGTATATACACCTGGTTGTATATACAGCCATACGCCCATGGCGCAACTAAGATCTGCAACACGTCTAGAGGGGAGAGCTCCGTCCACCCACCCTTCTCTGGGTTGTACACCTGATGATGCTGACGGGGAGGACAGGAAGAGTAGAGAGTGGGGGAATTGTCACGCGCTCGCCATCGTGCGTGCCTTTGATAAAGATAGTGCGAGCCAGCAGGCTGAAACACCACTCCTCTATTCTCCCCCCGTCCAATCCTCTCCCATGTGTCTTCTTCCCTCCCTCGCTACCCTTCCCTCCTCAGCGGCATCGAGCACTCCATGACATACCCTCCCCCCTCCCCCCCTCCCCCCCTCCCCCCTCCCCCCCCTCCCCCCTCCCCCCTCCCCCCTCCCCCCTCCCCCTCCCCCCTCCCCCTCCCCCCTCCCCCCTCCCCTCTCCCCCTCTCGCCATACCTGCGTGCCTTTGATAATGACCGTGTGAGCCGGCAGGTTGACACCCCATGCCAGCGTCGCAGTCGACACAAGCACCTGTGGCAAAAGGGGGGTGCGGACGAGAGTGGAGGGGTGGGGTAGGGGTGGGGTAGGGGTGGGGGATGGGGGAGGGTGGGAGGCAGAGGACGGACGGGAGAGGCAGGGCGTTTAAGACATCCCACCATGACACCGTGAGCAGGCAGGCTGACAAGAGGTGCCCATCGGCAAACGGGTCTTCCACCAGCGTCCTGTTCGCCCATGCCAGCCCATGTCAGCCCATGTCAGCCCATGTCAGCCCATGTCAGCCCATGTCAGCCCATGACAGCCCGTGTCAGCCCGTGTCAGCCCGTGTCAGCCCATGTCAGCCCATGCCAGCCCGTGTCAGCCCGTGTCGGCCTGAGTCAGCCTGAGTCAGCCTGAGTCAGCCCGAGTCAGCCCGTGTCAGCCCGTGTTAGCCCTATCATCCCTCCGGGCCCTCTCTTTGTCCTCACCTGGATGTGCCCATCCGCAAACAGGTCTTCCACCAGCGTCCTATCCGCTCTCGCCAAGCCAGCATGATGAATGGCGAACCCATACGGCAGCAGGTCCCTCAGCTCCCCACTCTTCACACTCTCAGCCTCACTCGCCAGAATCTCCCTACTCGCGCCATCCTCCTTCAAAAACCGCCCCAGAGTATCCGCAGCCAGCGCCGCATCCCGCACCGCCCGGGCGGTCTTCCCCGTCTCTTTCCGCGAGTGGACAAACACGAGCACCTGGTGCCGCCCAGCGCACTCCACCACCTTCTCATAGCAGATCTCGTTCATAAGCTGGAAGCGCTGCAGGGGCTTGCGCACGGTGATGCCGATGTATTGCTGGGCGAGCGGGCACGGGCGGAAGGAGTTGTCGAAGTGAAAGAGGCCCTTGTCCAGGTCGACTCGCAGGAAAATGGCCACATCTTCGTAGTTGGGGAGGGTGGCACTGAGACCGACCAGGCGAATCATCTCCTGCGTGCTCTCGACCTGGCAGAGGGGGGAAACGGGAGCAGAAGGGAGGGGATTAGAGGTTCAACGAGGACGAAGACGGGCACGCTTTCATAGTTGGGGAGGGTTGCGAAGAGACCGACCAGGCGAATCACCTCCTGAGTTCTCTAGACCCGTGGTGGTGGTCGAGAGAAGAGAGAGAGAGAGGGGGGGGGGAGGGGGGTGTGGATGAGGAGGTGGAAGCTCTTCGTGATAAATGTTTCCGCGCGACGGGCAGGCAGAGCGAGAGGGAGAGGAGGTGCAGTACAAATGGCATGGCGTTTGATTTTTTAGAATTCTCAAAAATCACCTACAACAACAGGGAGAGGGGGGGAGGGGGGTGTGGATGAGGAGCTGAAAGCTCTTGGTGATAGATGTTCCGCGAGACAGGCAGGCAGAGCGAGAGACTTCCGAGCTGTCTGGAAAGGTGCAAATGGTGTGGACGAGGGTGCAAATGGTGTGGACGAGGGTGCAAATGGTGTGGATGAGGGTGCAAATGGTGTGGACGAGGGTGCAAATGGTGTGGACGAGGGTGCTCAACCAAAGAGACACTCGAGTGAACACACTCAAGAAGCAGCAGTGCTTCTCACAGTTTTGTCTGACAGCATGCACACAACAGCGTGCACACAACAGCATGCACACAACAGCATGCACACAATCATACACAGCAGCAGCAGCAGCAAGGCACACACCAGCAGCAGCACTACCCACCTGTCTGACAGTCCTGGCCACAATGCTCTCGAGCACGGGCCCTCGGTTGTCGTGCAGCAAGTGGATCTCGTCGATGATCACCAGCTTCACCAGCTGCGTGTACGTGCGATCCCCGGACTTGCGAGTGATGATGTCCCACTTCTCTGGGGTGGTCACAATGATCTGTGTGTGTTTCGGGGCAGAAGGGGGGGGGAGGGGGGGGCGGGGGGGACAGCAGGAGGATCTCGTCGATGATCGCCAGCTGCACCAGCTGCGTGTACGTCCTGTCGCCGGATTTCCGTGTTATGATATCCCACTTCTCCAGGGTTGTTTTTGAGAATTCTCAAAAATGCCCAGCAAAATCAAGGATTTCCGTGTTATGATATCCCACTTCTCCAGGGTTGTCACGATGATCTGGGGGTGAGAGCGAGGGGGGTCGAGTCAGAGAGAGAGAGAGAGAGAGAGAGAGAGAGAGAGAGAGAGAGAGAGAGAGAGAGGAAGAGCAGCAATGAGGAGCAGTGAACCCATGCTCCTTCAACCGGTTCCCCAGATTCCCCTCCAGCAACAGCACCACACACAGCATACCAGCCACCAGTTCACTACCATCTCACTCAACACCCTCACTTCACCTTCTCCTCACCCTGTCCTCACCCTTCCCTCACTCTCTCCTCACCCATTCCTCACCTGCGTGTCCTCGATCTGCTGGCGGGTCAGCGAAGCATCGCCAGTGAGCTCCCTCACACTGACGCCATACTCCTTCAGCCGGTTCCCCAGATTCCCCACCAGCTCCGCCACCAGCGCCTTCATCGGCGCCACATACACAATCTTAAAGCCCGACAGGTCGATACTCCCATCCTCCCTCCTATGCAGCCCGATCTCATGCAGAATCGTCAGCATAGCGACGTTCGTTTTTCCCGCGCCTGTCGGCGCACACAGCAGCATGTTTTCCGGGGTAAATAGTGCCGTCTCATAAACCCTGCTCTGGATGCGATTGAGGGTTTTTGTCTCCCCGAACGCCGGCTGCGCCCACTCCGGCAGGTCCGAAATTTTCACCAGCTCCTCGCCCTTGCCCAGCGGCTTGGGCTTCAGCGCCGGCACGTGCACCTCCTCGTAGCCTTTTTTGGGTGCCCGGTACGAGCCTTCGGGCAGCTCGCATCGTTTGTTGGCCATAAGCCAAGCGCCCTGAGAGAAACCAAGGGAGTCCAAATCTAGCAGCTGCCGATGCCCCTTCAACCACCCTCCCCCTCCGCCCCCCCCACCTCTTCCGCCTCCGCCCCCTCCCCCTTCCCCCTCCTCCCCGCCCTTCCCCCCCTTCTCCCCCTTCCGCCCAATCTCCATCTCGTCGCCCTCCATCCCCTCCCCCGCGCCCCCCGCGCCCCCCTCGCGGAGCTTCCGCGCCTCCTCGCGGATGCTGCGCTCCAGGTTCCGCTGCCTCTCCTTGGCGGACGCGCGCGTGGCGTGCAGCTGCGCCAGGATCGCGCCCAGCGCGCGGTCCCCCTTCTCCGTCATCTCCCCCTCGATCCGCTTCCGCTCCGCGTCGTCCTCCGCGCGCGCCAGCCGCGTACACCATACAATCTTGAGCCGGTTGCGCAGTAAAAGCTTAATCAAATCGAATTTGTCGTAATCCAGGAGGCGCACGAGCTTGTTCTCCGCCTCCCGCTGCTGCTCGTCCGCGCCCGCGCCTGCGCCCCACCCAGACGCTCCCCCTCCCCCTCCGCCTCCGCCTCCCCCCTCCCCTTCCGCGCCCCCCGCCGCCTCCAGAATCCCCAGCGCCTCCGCCGCGAGCTTCTGGCTCTGCTGCGGATCAATCCCGCCGCCTGCTGATGTGGCGTACGCCTGCGCGATTTTCCGCTGCAGCCAGTACGCGTCGATGTCTTGGACGCTTAGCCCCTCGTCCTCGCGCTCTTCGTCGTCGTCAAGCGCGTCCGCCATCTGCATTCCGCCGTCCGCGTCTCCGCCATCCGCGCCGTCCCCGCCCTCCCCCGCGCCGTCCTCCTCGTCCTCCTCCTCCTCCTGAATCTCGTCTAAGTCCTCGTCGTCCTCATCCTCCTCTTCCTCAAACTCCACCGCCACGCCGATATCGTCATCCAGCGCCTCCCCCGCTCCGCCTTCCCCCTCTCCGCCGCCTCCCCCTCCGCCGCCCCCCCCGCCGCCCTGCTCGTAGTCCGAGATGCGCTTCCCCAGCGCGACGAACTCCGCGAACCGCTCGTTCGGCATCGCGTTCAGCAGCTTCTCGATCTCGCGCTTGCGCTCCGGATCCGTCAGCTTGTCGTCTTTAAGAACCGCCAGAACCTCGTCCGCCGCGCCGCGCAGCACGTCCTGCGGCTGATCCCCAAACTGCTGCTGGATTAAACTCAGCAGAAGCTCGTACGCCGCGCGCGTCTCGCGCGTGCGCGGACGATACATCCCGTCGTCCACCAGCGAGAGAACCGAATCTTCGTGAAACCCCGCCCCGCCAGCTGCGCCGCCGCCGCCGCCGCCCCCGCCGCCGTTGCCGCCGCGTTTCTGCCGCTTGGTCGATTTCTTCCCGAGCAGATCCAAGCTGACGTCGCCACCGCCACCGGCGGCGGAGGTTCCTCCCGCCGCGAGCGATTTTAATCGGTCCTTCTCGCGCTTCTCGCGCTTCTTCTTCGCAGCTTCCTCCACCTCCTTGGGCCGGCCATGCCCCGCTCGGTCGCCGAATTTCTTCATGTCGACACGGCCCCAGAGCGTCTCCGGCTCGCCGGTGGGCTCGTGCGAGTCGCGCGGACGCGACTCGAGGTTGAGCACCAGAGAGGAGTTGGCGCGGTACTCATACTGCTTGAATCGCGCGAAGGCCTCGGCGCCTCCCCCGGGATTCGCCATGACGGATTAAACGCGGCTGCTTAAAGCGGGACTATTCGCCGCGGCTGACCCGCAGCTTCCCTTTTCTTTGTTGTCCTTCTCTCCCACTACGGTAGCAAGCGGTGCCTATGGAGCGTGACTATCTAAACGATGCGACGGTCACGGCCCTACCCCTCGCAGATTCCAGCGGGTAAAGAGTATCCTCGCACAACCATGGAGGATAGCTGCAATCCGGACAAGAAAAGCCGATGCAGACAAGAACAATCTCCTGGAACCAGACGAAATGGGGGACGGCAGATCGGCGACCTAGGCCCAAGATAGCAGCGACCTAAACTGGAACCTAGAATTGGCGAGTGCTTGGTTGTTTGCTGCTTGACGAAAGAGGATACGCGACTGGGGTGGAGTGTGAGGGTGATGAAGGGGATGAGGTTGCGTGTGACCATAAAGAACAAGAGTAAAAGGGGATAACTCTCGTCGTGTAGAGAAAAAATGGTGAGAAATGTCAAATTTGGTGAAAGTGCAACTTTCCAACACACAACGGTTAGAAAATAGACATAAATTTAAAAAAAAATCCAGGATACGGATCCGTGCAGGGGCTGTGCTGGCTGGGCCATGAAACCATCCTATTGAAGTGTGTGCTTGGCCAATTCATGGAGTTCAAAATAGTCACTCGTCTGAAGTACCATTGTCAACACATTGTAGCCAATACTCATGCACTAACTCTCAGCTTCTTGAAGGCTCATTTTTTACAGGCGGTAATGAGTTGTTGAAGTTCGAGGTATGCAAGCGTACAATAGTGAGTCCCTACTGTACGGGGTGCTTGTCTTTCAGCTCCCCCTTCAAAACAGCAGTCTGGGCAGTGAAAATCGCCGAACCTAAAGGCTAGACAGCTTCATGCTGCTGAATTATCCTTACTAAAACCCAAAATTGAGGGACATTGACGGCCTATCGCTTCCTTGAGAATGCCTCCGTGGACAACATCACTTCTGAGAATCTCCCGCCTTCTCCAAACATTGGGAGGAAATTGCACACTTCGACAGAAATCGAGGAGGCCTCAAAACGGTTGACCCTTTAGTCATAAAGTCACCAGTCCTAATTATTGGGAGAAGAAGGGATGTCCGCTGGAGGGTTAGGCACCATATATCCACCTTCCCCGGGGAAAGCCTCCCTAGAGAGAGAGAGGGGATCGACAGGGTTATCCCAGTGCCACGACACACCCCTCCTGCAGGGATAGCGTGTCCACCAGGAATTGAACCCAGATGGCTCTGATACCAAGTCGTAAAGTCACCAGTCCTAACCAATGGGACAAGAAGGGATGTCATCAGGAGGGTTAGGCTCCATATATCCACCTTCCCAGAGGAAAGCCTCCCAAGTACCCTCCCTAGAGAGAAAGAGAGGATCGACAGGGTTATCCCAGTGCCACGACACCTTTTTTTTGGCAATGTATGGCATGCCCCCATCACCCAAAAGGTCGACCCCCCCGTATTGTACCGATTTTGGCTTTCATTTAACGAAACGTGGAAAATGAAATTCTGGTCTGTTGTACAAACATTTGCCTCCGCCCAGTACAATTTATGCACGTGCACACACTTAATGTGTCGTGACAAAAGTATTGCCCGTGGCCCGCGACAAATCAATACACTTGCATCCCAATATTGGAACACACTGCTTACAAATCGCGCTGGATATATTTGGACGGAAATATTGATTAGGGAGAACCCAATTGTGACTGACTCGAGCAGAGCATTTTGTGGAAACCAAATGTATATCGGGAGCCAGTAGCCACGGGGAGTACTTGTGTCGCGACCAGGCCCCACGGTATCAGGCTATTTATACTTTATTTTAGGGTGTTTGCTTGTACCGACCCTGATGAAAAAGCCTCTTTTCATGATTGAACCCTGTTGAAAAAGTCTTTTTTTAACGTATGAGACTGATGTTTTAACGATTTGCTTCTTGTAGACACTGATGCATCAGCGCACTAATGGGGATCGACATTGAACCAAACACTTGAGACTTCCGGAGTTTCCCCCTTGGTTGGCGCATGATCCCCTCTCCCCCAACCCCCACCCCCACCAGGTCGAAACACAAATAATTTGTCAAAGTCCTCCAACCCAGGGATATTTCTCACCCACACCCCTCGCAACTCAAAAATTCGACGAAGTCCCCACAACCAGTAACATTCCTCTCACCCCTCCCGCAACCCAAAAAATCGTCTAAGTCCCCACAGCGAGAAACATCCCTCTCACACCTCTCGCAACCGGGAAAATCGGCTAAGTCCCTTGCAACCATAAAAAATCCTCCCTCAAAACCCCTCCCCCCCCAACCAACAACCCTGCAGATACCCTACTTTTGTGTAGATGCTAAAATGGGGTAACGGGAAAACCATTCCTAAGCTGACGTTTCGGAAAAAGCCCCCCCCCCTGAGCTGTCGAGTACTGTTTTTTTTCCCCCGAGGGCCCTGCTTTCTCAGTGCTGAGAAATTGGAAATCATGAAATTCTCAGGGTGCAAAGAACGCGATCAGTGTTGCCTTCAACAACGGCCATAGGGATACCCAAATTGCCAACATCTTCTCCAGTACTGACGATTTCATTGCTGGGAGGACAGGGAGCAGGAGGCAGGGTCTTCGCTAGCAGTATCAAGTAATATATGGCTGGCGTGATTTTGTTTCTTCCGATTTTTTAGACGATGTGAAACTACTAGCTCTAAAAAATCACATTGCACACGGCTCAATTGAGGGGGAGGAAATCAAAATGGAGGGGAGGGAGAATTGAAACCGAAGGGAAAAGGGGGAGAGAATCAATACCAAGATGATAGGGGAAGCGAAACGGAGGGGAATGGGGGGAATCGAAATGGAAGGGGAGGGGGGAGGCGAAACAGGGGGGGAGGGGGGGAGCGAAAATAGAGGGGGAGGGGGGAATCGAAACGAATGGGAGGGGGGAAGCTGGGGAACGAGACGGTCGGAACATTTTCGCGCCATAGCAGCACCCTGGTTGGGAGATATTGGACGTTAATGGCCATCGACCATCGAACGGTTGAAATGTGTCGAAACGATCGCATTCGATCATGACCGTCACATTCTGATAGAATTTTAGCTGGCCAAACGGGCAACTGGCGAGAATTTCCCTATGTTGACTCTGAGAATTTTCTGGAGCCGGTCTGATACTGGTGTCGTACGTGGGCACCCGAGGTTGAAAAAAGTCACCTCGGGTCTTCCCGAACCTGACGGTTGTTTGACTGGAAACTCACCCTTAGCTGGCAAATTTAGCGGCATACGAGTGACACGAAAATAGCTCTCGAAAACCAAAATGAAAACCATTTTTTCTCCGCAAAGAAAACCATATTGATTTCTGTTGTCGTTTGTTCTCCCCTCTCTAGTGGATGCTTTATACTCCCAAGGCAGTGTCCTACATTGGGTGCATTGGCAAGGACGATTTCGGTAAGGAGATGACCAAGAACTGCACGTCGGTGGAAGTCAATATAAGTTATTAAACATAGACAAACGCTCAGTATTTCGGGTCCTGTTTTGTACAAAATTGGTACCTCAGTCATTGAAGTCCTCTTTTCCTCATCAAAGTTGTTTGTCGTGTGGTAAATCTTGCACACCATCCTTGAATTCCATTGTTTGCTGCTCACAACACTATGTCTTATACCAGTATTAGGTCCACTACAGAGAGGACGACACCACGCCAGCTGGCACCTGCACAGTGCTGATCGTTAGGGGCAAATGGTAAGCCCGTCCCTTCTCACGCTCCTTGTGCTTCTCATGCCACTTGCTTCTGTCGCACACCTGTGGAGATACTTTTGTTGCCCCCAATGATGGGACTTGATGGCAACGCAATGAAAGTGAGCCGCGGTGCCACCTTGCCACATTCCTCATGCCGTTGGGTATTCATTTTGAGTCGACTGAAAAGTCACCTTGCTTCTTTCTGCGCACCTGTGGGGTTTCTTTTGTTGCCCCCAATGAGGGGAGTTGATGACAAGGCAATGAAAGTGAGTCGCGGTGCCACCTTGCCACATTCTTCATCCCATTAGTGTATCTATTTTGTTCCATTTTGTGCTTAACCCCAGATTGGCCGCCCACGTCACCACTGGTTGAGTCGCATTGTGGAATGTGTTTCGTCTCTTGCTGCACCGTGTCTTGTCTCACGGGTCTTTGATCGCCAATCTCGCAGTTCTGAATTGCTACAACATCGACCATGTGCAGGCTGCAGAGAACTGGGCTCTTGGTGAGTCAAGCAGAATCATGGAACAGAATTTGTGAGTCAGACAGAAGTATCATAATGAATGTCTGGGAACGAAAGAGGTGATGTGGTAGACAGAACTACTGAGGATACAATTGTCGTGGCACTTGGGTAACCCTCTCGATCCTCTCTCTATCTCTAGGGAGGGTACTGGGGAGGCTTTCCTCGGGGAAGATGGATATATGGAGCCTAACCCTCCTGATTGTGAGAGTACGCCTCCGTTACACCACTTGGCCTTTTCCATATTTCATCTTCATTTCATTCCTCTTTTTATCTCACCTCCTTTTGCCTCATATTCCCCATTTCCATTATCCTTTGGTTTCTTCCTTTATTATTATTATATCACCGACCAGGCATGGAATGTTCTAGACACGCTATCTAGCGTAATCCTGCTGTAATCCCTTAAAGCCAATAGCCTCGCGTGGCTATACGCAGGGTGATTCTATCTTCTAGAAGGGTCTATTCCCTTAGGATAAGATAAACCTGGTTACCTGATGTACTCTGGAAGTATAAAAGCGCCTTGTACTGATCGATAGTGCAACCTTTCCTCGACACATTCGATCCTGTGACACTTGGTAATCAGAGCTTTTCTCACTCAGCCGCGCTCAGCTAAGCAGCAGCAGCGGGGATCCTGCCTCGAAAAACCGCCGGGGGCGACCAATTCGACGCCGATTCTGGTAAGCACCAGCTCCGCGATTTTCGAATTACCCCCTCCGTGCGTGTTTTGAACAGGATGGCAACCTTCGACAACGCCGAGGTTACCCAGCAGCTCTTCGCGCGCATCGCAGCCCTTCAGGAGGAAATGCGAGCGGATCGCGAAGCGTGGCGAAACCAGTTCGAGCGAGTAACTCGACTCGCCGGAGCGCAGCACGAGACGACAACGGCGACAACGCAGCAGTCGCAGCAGTTTCTCGAGGCTCCGAAACCGCGCCCACCTGAGCCGTTCGATCCGAGCGATCGAAACTCCGACGCCCGCAGATGGATCGCCGGGATGGAGATCTACTTCGCAGCCGTCGGATGGAGCTCGCCAGTCTGGGACGGTCAACGTGTACGACTCGCGGCGACACTGATGCGAGGGCCGGCACTCGAGTGGATTGGCGGC